AGCACTTAGTGATAGCAAAACTTGGGAAGAGAGGCCCTTAGAAATCCATGGAGAGATAAGAATGGTAGATTTTTTTGAACCTTAATATCACCACTCTGCGCGCCAGCTTAGTATTAAGAGAGCCTAAAATCAGAAATGAGTTACATTTAAATTAAAAAAAAAGATTCTGTAATCTCAGTGCTGAAAAGGGTCTAAATGATTTTCACACTCACAGTTGCCAGGAGTTGCTGAGGTTCCTATTGCAAAAATCAAAAAGGTAATAGGTATAGTTCAAGGAATCTCATGGAGAAAAACATTTATTTCACTCTTCAGAAACTTCTCATTTTGAATTCTTCAGTAACAGAATGCCTGAACAGCACTAGTATGTATTGAACAACAGATAAATGCGTATGACCCTGGAATTAAAAAATTCTCCTTTTCCCCCCCAAAAAAATTCAAGAATCAAGCAGATTTCTAGTTCTCCCCTCTGAGCATGCAGGAAGTCAGCAACTATGTTCATGTTACTTCTTACATTGCATAACAAATTAATCTTTCCTTTGTAGCACTCAAGTCATCAGTAAGTTTCAGGTAGTCCTGAAAACTGTCCTGTAATACGTAAATTTATTAAGCAGCCTAACCCAACAGTTTGTGCTTGCTTTCCTTGTGTCTTCTCCTCTCACTCTTGCTTTTTAGATAGTCCAGTTTTACTACACTTCTTACAGCGCTGCCTCTCACATACTAATCTTCCTCTGAAGACATTTACTGCTACTCCACAGGGGTTTTTTTACCTCAAGATCAACTAGGACATCATTGAATTATGCACACTAACACACATTTATGAAATACGACTTTAAACCACTCTACCACCTCACAGTAAATATCCTCCTTTACATTAGTTTTTGCTATTCATTATTCTAACTCACTGTTTTCTAAGCTACAGCAGACCATCTCAGTGTCTGCCTGCTAATGAAAAAATATTTGAATTTAAAGCTTTAGCTGGCTGCAATTCTGTTTATAAAACAGTTCCTGTGTTAACAACAGGATCTGTTTTGCATAGTAACCTCCAGCAGAGAGCATTTAATAAAATTACAACTGACAAACAGATAAACTTATCCATTCTGGATAAAGGAATATTGAAAATATAATACTCTACCAGCCTAAAAACTGAAAAAACAAAAACGATGGTATTTTTGATAGGAGCCATTTCCTTTTGATTATGATAATTACAATGCATTTTTGCTACATATCAGAAGTCATATTTATAACTAAATCGCTAGGAATAGCCCAGGGCAAAAGAGTTTACAATTCATACAGTTTCTGTTAATGCAAAAGTTGTAATTCTAAAGCTACTTTAAACATAGTAGAGGATAACTATTCAATTACTACTTGAAATAAGTTAGAGAAGCCTCCAGCAATTCAGCTGTGCAAAACGCTCAGAAAAGCTATTGGTACATAGGCAGGTACCCTCCAACCTTTCCGTCCTTCTCTAGCAGCCACACAGTGGTATTACTCACCGCACAGCTGTTAAAAATACCTCCTGTGCCTTCCCAGCCAAAGACGACCCAAACACCACAGCTGCCACCTGGGAGCCGAGGCAGAACTCAGTGCCCAAAACGCTCCCCACAACACCACCAAGAGCTCCCACCAGAACCAGGGTTTTACAAAATACGGAGCATTAGAGGGAGAAGGGCAGGGGGGAACAAACCACAAAAACCACCACAAAACACACCCACCCACCCCCAAAAAAAAATCCAAACAGAAAAAACCCCACCAAACTTTAAAAAAAAAAATCCCACGCCCTCTAAGTTGTTTTTTCACCACAGGAAGCATTTTGCACAGAGTCTACCACAAAAAAAAAATCCAAACAAAAACACCCCCATGAAACTTTAAAAAAAAATCCCACGCCCTCTAAGTTGTTTCTTCACCACAGGAAGCATTTTGCGCAGAGTCTAAACATGATCATTGCGTACAAATTAAGCTATGATGAACTAATCATATTTTGCAGTCAACCCATGAAATAAGTCAAACCTATGAGATAAGCTAGTAAATTTTTGCTTGTTTTTGTAAGTTTGCCTTCCCTATACTTTTCATCATTTTGTACATGCTGATCATGTTTATTCTATTTTTCCCTGTAATTTTTCCAAATGTTTTGCTGTGGAAGCTTTTATAGGACGAATATTCTTGCCACTCTTTTTTCTTTTTAAACCATCTTAACTCCAGTGTGATCCTTTAAAAAAAGGCATGCACAAAGCACACTCTAAGCAAGGTACAACATTATGCAACACAACATAACAGTTTCTTTCAATTTCTTGATTTAAATAATCATTTTCATTATCAAAAAAACCACTGGTACACACTGGATAGTCCATTAAAACTTTTATTCAGAAGTTCAGGTCATTTTACTGAGTGTTTTATTTAAAATATAATAATGAACATTAATTGTTCACACTGCTCCCTCTTGTGAACCTTACTTTGCATTTGCTAACATTGACTGTAATTTGCTATCACACTGCCTGCGCACTGATTGGCGTGCTAATCACTGACACGCCTAGGACTCCTCACGTATGAGGACCTTTCATATTTGGTACTATAAGCAGGACAACAAATCTTTTGCTAGAACTTAGTATAACTGAGAGACAAAGACAGAAGGACAACATCCAGAAATAATTGCCCAGGCAGTGGTTGTACTAAATTAACCACTGACTTGTCATACACATCAGAAAAAGCATAATAAAGCAGCCATTCAGTCAGCGCTGACAAGTTTTTGCTCAATGGGTGAACAGTGAACGCTCTTTCTTATCCATTCCTCAAAATTCAATTGTAGCCTGGATGTTAAGACCTAAAGAGGTCTGAACCAAAGATGACAACCTAGAGTACCGGCCCAGAGGAAAAGCAGATGATGAAGCTGTCCACAGTGACCTAAAACAGGAACAGCAACAAGGTCCAAGGAAACAATATCAGTCCCAAAATTGCAGTCATGTTCAGCCAGCGATATGCGATGGAATGTCACAGACTGACATTCAGTAAAACTAGAGCTGTGGAAAGTAGGAGGCGCAAATCAAGTGAAGGCTGGCTGATAACCAGTTAGGTTTCCCAAGGCAGTACGCTGCTAACAGTAGCATTCAACTACTGCGATAAAGGAAGAAAAGCCAGGCAGAAGAGGTGTGGTAGCAGATACAACAGCGGAATGGAAATCACAGAAAAGCTCACAACTGGGATGGGCGGAGGGAGGCTGACACCAGGTCTGCAGGGGAACCTGCAGCAGCAATCTCACTGGGCAGTGCTGGCTAAAGATACAAGTAAGCAAACAGTCCCTCTGGTGAGCAGGAGATTTAAGGAGTTGGACAGGTCATCAACACAGAAATTTAAATTACTAGTGTTGAGTGCCACTGAGTACGAATAGAGGGGAAGGGGCGGGGGGGAGAACAGCAGTAATGCATCTTTCACAGAACTACATGCTAGGGCTTTACTAGTATTCTTTTTCTATTTAGTAGTTTTAAAATAATTTTTTTTCCCTGTTTTATTTCACCAGAAACGAATTTTGTTTTCTTGGCAAGGAAAAATAATTTTTTTTTTGTTTGGCCTCAAAATAAATTCTGTTTTTAAATTCTTTTGTCAAGGACCTGCAGGCAAATCCTAGAAAAAAGTCATCTCATGATGAAAAAGCAGAATAATCATTTTAAGAAATGCTGATAAATAATTCTCCTTTTCCTAATTTTTTGCAAATTTGGATTACATCAGCAAATAGCTTGGGTTAGCCTGAAACAACATTTTGGAAAGTATACATTTTGAGCAAAAAGTTTAACACAGCTATGTAATTCTTACTTATGTGGAATTGGAAATTATTTTACTGTAAAACTGAGGTGTTGGGAAAAAAAAATGCAGATAGTTCATTTCTTTCATAATCTCCAAAAGGACAATAGCTGTAACTAGAAAAATATTGCTGTCTTTGTTGCATTCTGCCAAGTCACAGAACGCTTCCAAAAAGGAAAGATTAAACAGACTATGACTCTTCAGCTTGAGAAAAGAGCTGTCAAATAAGAGGGAAAGAATATAGTAGGGTTCTACAAAATCAAGGATGGCATAGAAAAATGAACATAAAGTAATTATTTACTGTTATACAAGGACTAGGGAATCAAGCGAAATTAAGAAGTTTGTAGAAGAAAAACAGAAGCATGTTTCAACATAATGTGTAATTAAAACAGTAGAACTCACTATCACAGAATGCTGCAAATGACAAATATAAAAATGTAAAAATAAGCTGGATAAATTCAGATCCACAGCCAAGACTAGAAAAAGAAAAGGATCTTTTTTAATTAACTTACCCTCAAGCACTGCCTGATCATCCTATCAGATAATTAGATCCTTCAATTCTGTTTTCTACTGGAATATTTTAAGCACCATGCTTGCTTTCAAACCTGTCACACTTTTTATTAAATTTTAAACTATAAAGCAAACGCATGATTCTGCTTTCCGCACACCTAAGCCCATACCCGAGTTCAGCATGAAACACAACTAGGCCTCTAAATCATTAGTCCTGATTCAACCAGGTATATAGTTACCTAGTTATCTTTTTAATTTCCACAATGACAAGAAAACACCTACATTCTGGCAAAAGCTTAACTTGACTGAATAAGGCTGTAGTGAGAAAATTAAACTGTTGTTACAGTAGTGAGTTAACTACTCTGGAATTTTTTTTTTTTTTTAATGTAAACAGTTCGCTTTAAGCCAGGAGAAATAGTTCATGTAAGTGATTCAGTGCAATTCCATCACAGTGGATTAACATAAACCTTTCAAAGAATATCAGATTCTAAGGACCTCTTTGGTCTTTCATCCTATCAATCTTATTTATGGTATTACATTTAAGCACAAGAGTTCACTTCCAAAAAAGAAAGGTAGGAAAAGGAAAGCAGCTTGCTACTCAGATTTTGCAATTTTACTGCAAGAGACAAAGACCAAAGAGGAGATCAAATTAGTAAATCAATAACAGGAAGCAAATGGTAGGAATCCACCAAATCTACCTGGATGGCTGCCAGGTTCTTCTGTTCCTGTGATGGAGCCTCATGGACAAAACGCAGCCAATTAGAATGGCGTGGATTGCTTGCATCTAGGATATAAAGGACCTCACCTTTACTCCCACGAACCTGAAACATTAAAATACAAAATCAAGCAAAATTAAAATTGTTTACCAAACACACACAAACATGTAAAACACTAAGGCATGCTTGTGCTCAGCAAGTGAATCTTGCGTTCAATGGGTACTCACAGCTGTGGTGCACATTCACCTTTTTCTATAAGCATATTTATTCAACTCAGAATAGGGGGGCCACTCAAATCCAGCAACTGGTGTCAGCTTCCTTTATTGAGCTCCCCCTCTCTTTTCGTAGCCTTTCCTTTAGCAAACAAGTATTATGACTGACTCCTGGGTCTCCCTAATCTGACGGTATGGTCACTGGTGCTCGTGTTCCTTCCTGTCTCTTTGTTCCTTCAAGTCCTCTTTTTCTTTACCATCTTACCAGAAACCGATACAACCTGAGAGGTCCTTTCCCATTCCAACCCTATCATCCCTTTTCCAGTTTTCCTTTCTGAGTTCTCCTCCTTCACGTGTTCTGATGCCAGCATTTTATTCCTATTCTTCTTCTACCTTCCTGTCTTTTGTCATTCAGTCTGTCTGTCATTACTTTCTCCAAATTAAGGTTGTAAGCTCTCCTATCTCCAATTCCTTTTCCTTTCCTCACAACTCACTATTATTGTCCTACCTTCCTTCTCCAACACACTGTCCAAGAGTGGACCATTTTCTTCTGTAACCTATACATGTCCTCTAACTCACTCCCCAACTAATTTTGCAGCATTTCTCTTCTGCTGACACTACAGACAAGGCCAACAGTAACTTTCTTCTGGACAAAAAGGATAGGATGTTCTCTAATCTTGTGCTATTCCAACCACCATTTGGTTCCAACACCACTGAGTTCAGGCTCTTGTTCATGAGTTTCTGTATTCCTGCAATCACCCATGGTCCATTCAGTGATCTTTACCTTGACAGTTCTTCACCCTTCCCTTCCTTTTTTCATACTTGATATTCTTCTAGACTCACTTGTCTTTTGCTTATTATGCTCTACCAGATCCTATTCACCCTCTACAGCCAATTCCTAAATCCATCTAGTTTTGCCTACTTTCACATTTCCAGAAGCATCTCAACCTTAACTGTCACCCATTACAAACAGAATACGTAATGAACCTGAATTCAACTTTTCCACTATCTTTGCTGCTTCCCTCTTCTGTAATCGTACCAGTTGCTCAACCAACTTCCAACCTGAATTATCAGTTCTGTCTCCATTCCCATCCCACTACTCCATCACTAAATCTTCTTTTTGCTTCTTTATCACCGAATATAACTTTTCTTCTTCATACAAATTCCAAATCCAGTAGATAAGCTTTCAGTACTGTTAACTCTTACTGCCCCACACCAATCCTAAATATCCCAGAAACTTATAAAATACTTTGTGAAAACCATATTCCTCATTTCCCTTTCAAGTCTTCTATGGGCTTGGTTTTTTAGGTTTTTGGGGTTTTTTTCCTTTAGCAAGGGCAAAATCCATCTTGCCCTCAGATGGAGATCTGCCTTCAGATCAAGGACCAATATAATTGCATTTATTCATTCCAAGTATCCTCTTTTACAGTTCACTTGAACATCTTTTATATATGCCTCTCTAAAGGAAATTTAAATACGTAGCCTCAATGAATAGCAGTCAGTCTTAAACTATGCTTGGCTGAAATTTTATCAGAATAGGAGATTATTTCAGTAAACAGATTAGTATACTATGTAGGTGAAGGGCTGTAAATTATTTAGTAGAGGAAACAAACATGTTCAGGTTTTGTTCACTAAGTGAAGAAGCCACTTTCAAAAAAGAATTGCGCACACAAGATACGTCATCTCCATATCAGGAGCTTTTGGCTATCGTTACAGATCCATAGAATTTCTATGACTGTGACAGAATTCCAGCTTACAGTGAAAAAATGGAAACAATAGAAATAGAAAGTTAATATTAACCAAGTCATTCTTCCCCCTCAAAACACAAAGACATATTGCTGAAAAAAATACAACTGCCACTGCCATATAAAAAATGGCTTGTTTTGTTTTAAATAATAGATCATTTGAATCTCCACTGATACAGAAGACAGAGCGCCATGCAAAAAGGTCATACAGCGACACTATTATTCCATGTGATTTATTTATACAATGAGCATATTTTCTTTTTCATCTGTCAACAAGAAGTATCTAGAGCAGGTACTTCCTACAAGCTAGGGATTTCAGCTATGTAAGATCAAAATTAGATTGTCTTCATGGCTTTGTATTTAAATTGCTCACATTCTTGCTATATTTGTTTCTAATAGATGCAATATCATATTTCTTCAGTATGACTGCTTAAATTACCTAAACATTTAGGATATCATTAGAAAGAAAAAACTGTATTCCATTACAATAATAGCTGGTGACAGCATGTTGTTCTCGTATTAAAACAAAAAAAAAACCGTACTGTAGTTCTGCAAACTAATAAAAGTCTTCAAAATTTATTACTGTTCTTCCAAAGTAAGACATCATATCTTAAGAAGGACACATCACAAAAAAGTGCCAATATTTCAAACTTCAAAAGTTGTTTTACTTTCAAACATAAAGATTAACCACAGTGAAAAGTGTCAAACCTACATATTTAAATGCACCTGGAAACAATATTATCTATCACTAAGCATCAGAATGGGTTTCCCGGAGGGGTTGTGTAGTCTCCATCCTCAAATACGTAGATACTCAAAAGCTGTCCTGGGCAGCTGGCACTAGGTGGCCCTACTTGAGCAAGTGGGTTGGACCAGATGACCTCCAGAGGTCCCTTCCAACCTCAGCCATTCTGTCATTCTGTGACTATCACCTTGGGAAGCAACGCCTGCTCGTTATTGGAACCATAGTTTTCATTAGGAACATGGGCAGAATGAGTGCAATCAAACCATAAAAGCAAGCTCCAAACTTACACAAAAATACATGCTAACAGTCTAATCAGCTCCTGAAAAGCCACCTGCCAAGCAGAAGCACTGCACTGATTTTACTGTAATAAATTTGGACACGTGGAAAAATTTCTTTACTGAAAGAGTGGTTAAACATTGGAACAGGCTGCCCAGGGAAGTAGTTGAGTCCCCATCCCTGGAAGTATTTAAAAGACGTGTAGATGCGCACTTAGGGACATGGTTTAGTGGGCATGGGGGTGTTGGGTTGACGGTTGGACTCGATGATCTTAGAGGTCTTTTCCAACCTTAACGATTCTATGATTCTGTGATTCTAATCATCCAGTTCTAAATAGGTAATCCACAGATCAGAACCTCACTTTGAGTGAAAATGGTTAACATTGCAGATTAGCATCTTTTGAGTAATTAAAGTCAAGCTAATGGCTTTATGATTTAGCTTCCAAAGTATGGGTTTTAGAAGCCCACCATGGGTGGTTTCCATCAGATCTTGACTTGAGTTGGAAAGACAAGCAATCAAGATCCTATTATAAAAACTATACGTTACACTATCTATCTTTTCATCCATTCTTCCTCTCCATTTGCTTGATCCTTAAATTGTAAAAGAGTAATTTATATTCACTTCAATGAGACACGATCATCTCAGCTGTGCTTTCTCAGTCCTTGCCAATCCATAAAGAGATGTCAAACACAAAGCAAAAACTTAACACATAAGAAAACTATTGATAAAAGAATACGATAAATCCCTTAAAGACGTGCTATATTTTCTATTGCTTTTTTCACCTCGTAAAGAAATAATGCTGCATCAAGTACACAGATGTGAGGAAGAAAAGTCAAGAAAAACAGTCAAAACACTGTACTTAACACGGACTAGACTGGTGACATTTACCACTCCTTTTCTCACTGGTTGCATGGATAGGCGAGTTTCCTAAATGAATGACCTATCTTTGAGCACCATGGCAGTGAATCCCAAACTTAATCAATATTTTAAATAAACAAACAAAAAAAACCAGCTCTTGCTTTGCAAATGTACTTCTCAAACTCAAAGCCAGTACAAGCTAATCATGGTAGTTAAATGAAATAAACAGCTAGACTCTACATTTTCAGTTTAAAATAAGTGCACCTAAATATCATCCATATTGAATTATTAATGAATCAAATTGAAGTTTGGAATATGTCCCAAAGGGTGCTCCCTCCAATAACAGTCCACTAAAGTCCTCAGTCATCCTTCTGCTTTGTGGCATGATTACCAAACAAGAAAATCAGTTTAATTAGAAGATATATCAAGAAATACACTTGGGTCTGTCTGTAAATCTGTTCTGATATCCAAGGAGACAGGATCAGAGATGGCTGTCACTAAGACAGACATTGCACTGTAGGTCCACACAATTCTGCTAACCACAGCAACAAGGAATTTTCCCTCCTGCACTCCTTCATCAGTGACACTGGAAAGCATAAGAAATGGACTGTGTAGCTTTAGTATCTCTCCCCAACCCTGGCAGTTGCACCAGCTATAACAGCAAGGGAAGAAAATGGGATGACAGTGTCAAGCTGCTTATGTGCTCCACAAGAAACTTAAAGATACTGCAATTTACCTCTCTACACCACAGAACTAGGACTCGGCATGTACATTTCTGGAGCACAACAAAAAAAGCTTCCCATATTGAATAAGGTTTCCTGGCTTGCTTTATTTCTGAGAACCCTCTTTTACAAATATTCCCACACATATCCTTACCACTTACTCCATGCAAGACCTGGAGAACTAAACAGGATTCATTCTGTAACAAAGCTTCCAGTCCGCTCCCAGAAGACTCCTTTCCAATCACCCAACCACTCCAAGAATCTTCAGGACAACCTGCCTACCACAACTATTGCTGGCAGGAAATTGTTGGAAAACTGAGGATGTCTTTCAGGGAGAGGAAATGAAAAATACTTTTGTATATCACGAACTAAAGTAGAAAATTCTTTAAGGAAGATTTTCTTAATGTATCTGCAAGCAAATTACTGCATTTCCACCACACATCTGAACTGTTACAATCTTTTATAGTTATAAGGTATTTAAAATAGAGGGAAAAGATTTTTACAAGACTGAGGTTCCCTGATAATTTTATGAAGTAGTATCAATTTTACA